GGGATTCAACATTTGTATATCTTATAATGTGAGTACCACACTCAGGCTAGTAAATGTCTGTCACTGTGCAAACTTTTCACATTATTATTGACTATATGCTCTCTCCCCTTTTTAACCATCCCTCTTACTCAACACTCTCTGGCAACCATCAGTTTGTTCTCTGTTTTTACGAGTTTGTTTTTGGCTTATTTGTTTGTTTGTTTTGTTTTAAGACTCTATATGTAAATGAAATCATGCAGTATTTATCTTGTTTTGTCTGACTTACTTCACTTAGCATAATACCCACTAAGAATATTTTAATTTAAACCCCTCATCTAAAAGCAAATGAATAAACCTTTGCCTCTGTTATCTGATTATTTCTTAATTCTCTATTTCACCTATAGGAACTGAGCTTACTATAGTTAAATAAATAAAATAGCATATTCTAATTATTTTATTATTTTTCTTCTCCCAATAAAAATGTGATTTTTTTTGATAGTAGGAATTATGTATTTTTATTTTTAACTTATTTTTCTTAATTACCAGCAGAATAGTTAGCATATAATAGGCCTGCATAAATATTTGATAAGTGAACAAATAAAGTCAAGATCCAGCTCCAGAAAAAAAGTTATTAAAGAATTAAATATCTCTTATTCCCTGATTTTTAACATCTCTATTAGCTTAAAAATTATAGAGGTTTTTTAATAACATAATTATACTGCCACACTCTGTTTACATAGAAAGTTAATATTACAGTTCTTTTTCCACTGCCACAGAACTTCCAGAGGTACACAGTTGAGAAGACATCAAGTTAAATAATTATTAATACATATTGATGATTCCTTCATCAAATCAATGTGGTCACCATTTTTTCTTAAGTGTAGATCTATATTTTGTATGATGAAGGAAAATCTAACATATACAGATTACATTTATTGAGTACTTACTATATGATAAATGTGTTATGTGTTTTGCTTACATTATTTTAATTTAACCTTCCCAGCCAATTGATGGTATAAATATTACTATTCAAATTTTGCAGGATAGAATATTGAGATTAGAATAAAGTATCTTGACCAATTATATAACTAATAAATAATAGAGCTATAATTTATCCTTAGATTGACTTTAAAATCTAAATTCTGTCCACTGCACCACACAGCCAAATATTAGAGTAATTAGATGTCAGGTGCCATCATCCTTGTCTTTGAATCCATCATTGATTTCATTAGAGAGTTGAATAGTACTAGATACAGTATTTTTCAAAACAAATATGATTGTAAATGTAAGGAACTCAAGAAACATTGGTACTTTAATATAAATATTTCTAAAGATCCTTTTATTACTGAAAAACACTTACTTTCTGCTACATAGCCTGATTATAGAAAATGTAAATTTTATATTAAACTTATGAAAGTGCTCAAATCAGTCAAACTCTGGTATTTTTTTAATTTGAAAGCAATTCCTTTCAAAACATTTTTGGCTTGCTTTTTGTTTGTACAAATGTTATATAGCTTCAGTTATGGGACAAAAACAATCTCATTAAGCTTCAACCTCAGTTGATACACCTACAGTTACATACACACTTCCCCATGGTTCTGTTATTAATTCACACTGATCTTGGCCTCATAATGTCTAGGCAATGAGCAGTATATAGGAAGTTTTTATAATGCCTGAAATTTTCAAAAACCATTTCTGTTTTTAATTAACAAAAAGTTTCTTGTTATGATTGTTTAAATATTAAATTTTTAACTATATTCTTGATCTACCTTATGAAATTAGAGGTCAGGCTAATTGGAAATAATGAGTGGGTATGTTAAACAATGCCTTTAACATCAAAGCATACAAATATCAATCAATATGTCAATCTCCCTAGTAAAGTTACGTGATTTTCATATTATCACTTGATTGATTTGACCAAGGGGAAAATATAATTTAAATAGAAAATGAATTTCTGTATCAAGTTCACTCAAAAATTACTAAAGAAATTTTTATTCTTACATTTCCACTGGAAGTGAAACACTGTGTTCTTCTCTGGATAACATTAGTTTAGAAAAAAATTAGTTCCATTGTGCTCCCATTGGCCAAAGTGGGTGACAAACCAAATTGTTGAAGTCAATATATAGGCCAAATACTCTAGCATACTAACGCTGCTATAAATTTCATAATGTCTTAATACGAATGTTTTTCATTTTTAAATAGACAATCCAAATGCAGAGCAAATAACCTAATTATTTTTGTCAATTTTGTTAAGAATAAAATCGTAAGTTATTTGAATAATTACTTGGAGTTCATGGTAACAAAATGTTACCTATATTAACTCAGGTAGTTAACTCATTCTTTTCTCTACATGCTTTTGCACATATAGAACTGTCACTTATATTAGTTAGCCTTCTCTCTGAGCACAAATATGTTTCCTGAATGTTGACCTCATGTCATTTTCAGAGATTATAAATAAAAACTAGCAATTCCAGGAATAATAGGTTTCTGTCCTTTCTCACTAATTCTCCCTTCTACATGTAGAGGAACTGATTTCAGAAAGACAAACATGAATTCCCTTACTTGGATTTTCTTTTTCTTTTTAAAGACCAAAAATAAACCACTTTACAATTTCATGTCTTTCACTGTATTATATATGATGTAATCAAGAATATCTTTTTCAAAATGTTTTATTGATTATGCTATTACAGCTGTCCCATTTTTTCTCCCCTTTATTCCCCTCCTCCCTGTACCCTCCCACCATCATTCCCTCACCTTAGTTCATGCCCATGGGTCATACATATAAGTTCTTTGGCTTCTACATTCCCTACACTCTTCTTAACCTCCCCCTGTCTATTTTGTACCTATTGTTTATGCTTCTTATTCCCTGTACCTTTCTCCCCACTCTCCCTCCTCTCTCTCCCCACTGATAACCCTCCATGTGATCTCTATTTCTATGAATCTGCTCCAGTTCTATTTGTTTGCTTAATTTGTTGGGTTTTCTTTTAGGTTCAGTTGTTGATAGTTGTGAATTTGTTGTCATTTGTTCATATTTTTTATCTTCTTATTTTTCTTAGATAAGTCCCTTTAACATTCTATGTAATAATGACTTGGTGATGATGAACCCTTTAACTTGACCTTACCTGGGAAGCACTTTTTCTGCCATTCCATTCTAAATGATAGCTTTGCTGGATAAAGTAATCTTGGATGTAGGCTCTTGCCTTTCATGACTTTGAATATTTCTTTCTAGCACCTTCTTCCCTCCAAGGTTTCTTTTGAGAATTCAACTGATAGTCTAATGGGAACTCCTTTGTAGGTAACTCTCTCCTTCCCCTTTGCTTCTTCTAAGATTTTCTTTTCATCTTTAATCTTGGGTAACTTAATGATGATATGCCTTGGTGTGTGCTTCCTTGGGTCCAACTTCTTTGGGACTCTCTGAGCTTCCTGGACTTTCTGGAAGTCTATTTCCTTTGCCAGATTGGGGAAGTTCTCCTTCATTATTTTTTCAAATAAGTTTTCAATTTCTTGCTCTTCCACTTCCACTGATCTGCACCAGCCAGGTCCTCTTGCTCTTCCTCTTCTCCTACTGGCACCCCTATGATTTGGATGTTGGATTATTTAAAGTTGTCTCAGAGGTTCCCAAGACTCTCCTCATTTTTTTGAATTCTTATTTCTTCATTCTGTTCTGGTTGAATGTTTGTTTCTTCCATCTGGTCCAAACCGTTGATTTTGAGTCCTGGTTTCCTTCTTGTCACTGTTGGTTCCCTGTACTTTTTCCTTTATTTCACTTTTCATAGCCTTCACTTTTTCCTCCATTTTGCAACCATATTCAACCATTTCTGTGAGCATCCTGATTATTAGTGTTTTGAACTGTGCATCTGATCAGTTGGCTATCTCTTCATTGCATAGTTGTATTTGTTCTGGAGCTTTAATCTGCTCTTTTATCTGGGCCATATTTTCTCAACTCAGTGCACCTGTTACATAGTAAGAGGTGGAGCCTTAGGCATTCACCAGGGCAGAGCAAAGCACATCGCTGCACTGTGGCACTGTCTGTGGGGGAGGGGTACAAGAGGGAACAATGCCACTTATTCATCTCTCATGGGCTTTCAGTCACTTCCCCAGCTACCCACAAGCAAATTGGGCCCTTCTGGTACTGATTCCCCAGGTGGGTGGGCTTATGTGCATTCTAGGACCCTGTGGGTCCCTCCAACAAACTCTTCTGTGAGGTAGGCAGTTTCTCCCACTGTCGCCTGAACCCCCACAGGTGTTTTCAGTCAGAGGTTTTGAGGCTTTATTTCTCCACACTGGAACCCTGGATTGTACGGTCTGTCTCACTCCCCAGTTGTTCCTCCCAGTTTATCTGCACACAAATGTGGGATCGCTCACTCAACCAGCCTCTGCCTTTTCCACTCTGGTCGTCCAGCTGCCACCTTGCTGTGAGTCCTCTCCACCAGCTGCCTGTCTCTGCCCCTCCTACCAGTCCAGATGAATGTTTCTCTTTAACTCCGTGGTTGTCGGACTTCAATATAGTTCCATTTTCTGGCAGTTCTGGTTACTTTTTGTTTTTAAATTTATTGTTGTCCTTCGTTTGGTTGTGCAAGGAGGCACAGTGTATCTACCTATGCCTCGGTCTTGGCTGGAAGTCTTAATTAAGAATATCCTTGGAATGGATAAAAAGATTCAGAAATATTAAAAGAAAGGAAATTTCATAGTTTTTAAGAGAAACAGCTGTCTTAGTTTATTCAGGAGTTATTTATTACACCTAAAGTCCATAATTTGAACTTTAAAGCAGTTGCAATGAGTTTCATTTTAAAAGAAATGTATTGCTTATTTTACATGTTCTATTGCTCCAGTTATAATTTTAATACTATGTATCATTAAGCAACCATAGCACAAATATAATAAGATAGGTAATATAATGAAACTAAGGTATTTAAATAAAAACTTTAAAACTGTTTTCATTTCTATCAGCTGTTTTAGTATATATAAAATGCAAATTTATTAAAACTAATGCATATTATTTAAAATTACATTTTTTTCAGGTTCAAGAAATTAGTAGGAACAATGAGCAAGAACATGACTATGAAGAGGATATTACTTCACTTCCTGCATACTTTCCCAGTAAGTGTCCCTATGTTATGTATAATGCATATATATGATGTTTGTATTGCATAATGTAACTGAAAAGTAAGACTGAAGAGAGCATGGAAAATAATTAACTGAATGACTTTTAATTTATAATATGGCAGAAACATTACCAAATTATCTTGCTAATTTAAATACTCCTAAATTTAATATTTAATAATCAAGCACTCATTTTTCTTACCCAAACAAAATATGCAAGTCAGATTGATGTAAATATTCTGATGATTTAACAACTATATTTTTTCAGTTTCCTTTTTTAATGTTAAAAAAGGTCACATCCTTTTCAGACCTTTCCTCAGCTAGGAAATGAGAAGGTTAGAGAGGAGTTTCTCTAAGGTCCTCCTCACTGGCTGTAATAGGATATAATGCTATAGTGTAATGTTTAAAGATTACTTCCGTCTCTGTAGATAGGTCACTGTGCCCATTATGTCAGATTCCATTGGTACACAACAGCTTGCTTCACCAGCATGTCGGATATGCATCGCTTACCTAACATTCCAAATCTGGAAACCCTAATTCCTGCCACTCCCAACCTACTCCCCCTACTGACTTCCCCACTCAAGCCAGTGAAGATTCTGTCCTTAGTGAATTCAGTCCAAAAACCCTGGTCACCCATGTTTTTTTACTTGGTCTCCTACCCCATATTCAGTCTGTCTGAGTACTGTTGGCTCTACCTTCAAAATACAGCCAGCGTTCAGCCATTTCTCCCCCTTTTATTGTGATCTCTCCTAGTCCACTCTGTCACCAGCTACCCCTGGATAATTGCAGTAGTCCAGTGGCTGACAATGGAGGGCTATTTTCTTCCTCCAAAAAGGATACCAATGAATGGAGTTGTTGTGTTTTTTTCAATTACAGTTTACATTCAGTGTTAGTTTGTGTTCATTTCAGGTGTGCAACGTAGTGATTACACATTATACTTGTGAAGTGTTTTCCTCCTGATATTTTCAGTGCACCTGGCACCATATACATAATTACTACAATATTACTGACTATATTCCCTATGTTGTACTTTATACCCCTGTGTGTGTTTTGTAACTACCAATTTGGACTTCTTAACCCTTCACCTCTTTCACAGAGCCCCCAAAACACCATCCCCTCTGGCAACCATTAGTTTGCTCTCTGTGTCTACGAGTATGTTTCAGTTTTGTTTGTTTCTTTACTTTATTCTTTAGTTTCCACATATACATGAAATCAAATGGTATTTGTCTTTCTCTTACTAACTTATTGAACAGAGAATTTTTTTATTGCCATGACTTGAGAAGGGATGTTTGTATCTGGCCTTTACAGAGCAGAGACCACAGAAATGCTGCTAAATATCCCACAGAACATGTCCCCACACAACACAGGAGTATCTAGTCCAAAGTGCCAACAGCACTGCTTTTTAAAAAATTTTTAATTTTTTAAATTTTTTATTATTGTTCACTTACAGTTGTCCCCATTTCCCCCCATTTTTCTCCCCTGTCCTACCCACCCCCCGACCTCCCACATTCAATCCTCCCCTCTTCATCAATAGCAGCTTCCACATTTGCCACCATGAATACACTGTGCCTCACGAAGGAACTAATCACTCTTCTCCAAATTTTCCAATGCCTTCACATCATATTTACAATCTTTATCATCATTAGTGAGGCCCTAGATCATCACCCCTTCTTGTCATCTCTGACCACTCACCTGCTTGTTCACAGCCACAGTGACATCTCACACATCAAGCAGGCTTTTGCTTCAGGGCATTTGCACTTTTAACAGTGCACAGTTGAAACTCAGCTAAGCATTGTTGATCACAGTTTTTTCAAGTCATAGCCTAACCTGCATATCAAATACATTTAAACACAATGCCTTAACTAACATAGTTTGGCAAAGTCAGTACACACCTTCAAATATTATTGCAGAACACAAACTAATGCTAAATATTAAAGTAATGTATTAATATATAAAGTTTTAATGTTATGCATTTTATTATTTTTAATGATAGTAAGTGATGATAGAGGCCATCATTAATAATTCAAAATGACATTTAATCCTCAGAAAAACTGTATGAATTAAGAAAACATTACTTCAGTTATTTGTACAGAACAGTGTCATTGCTACAGATAGTTGGGACCTGGAACTATCTCACATGTGACTCAGTGTGACCAGACTCGGGCCTCAGCCTCTTTCATGGGAGAGTGCCCACCCTAAGTCAGCAGATCTCCATTGGTTCCACCATTGTTATGAAGCTTCCTAAATCCCACTGACCCACTACCTGACTCTCCAGGGCTGGATTGCACATTTGGGAATATTTGATAAGGTCCAAGGAGACTGTTGCTTAGACAGTGCATTGGCTGCAAGTAATTTCCTATAATTTCCTATAATGTAAATGTAATTTTAAGATGGTGTTTGACTTACCCAAGGAGATGTAGTAAAGCCCCTTTGCTACCCTGAGCAATAATTTCTTTTCAGTTATTCCATCATCTACTCATGTCATCAGGATTTCCAGAGACTACTTCGTTTCAGGCTCAGTGTTTGGTGTTAGAAGTAAAAGCGGGGATCTGTGCAGACATCTGTGCAAGAATGTCTGCTCAGCCTGAGCTGGTAACCCAAGAAGCTTGGTTCGCAGCTCTAGGACTGGCACCTATACCCTTCTTCTCTCACATGAAAAAAGAGAAAAATCAAACAATAAAATTTGATGTAGAAATATAGAGTACCCACATAGGCATGCTTTTTCTGCATTACTCATTTATTTTCCCACTGCTGAAAATTTTCTACATTAACTCTTCACTTAAAAAAAATTTTTCTATGTGCCACTCTGGCTTCTGTAGCTATATTTAAGTTTAGCAGTAGTTTAAAACAATTATTTGCTTTTCTTTTTCACTGATGACAACAATTCATATATTCCCTGCAATAATGAGATTCAAAAGTTTGTTTTTAAAGTTTATGAAAGCTTTAGAGCAGAATTTTTATAAAGACAATATAAACAAAATTGTTTTAATATTTAAAGACATTGCATTATAATACCCAATTTTCTATTTTTCTTCCTAAAGTTAGAAAGCTTTAATGTACAGTATAAAAACAAATGTTGGCATCATCATTCTTAGAGGGAGGGCATTTGATCATTTGATTAAGTTTCAATATAGAATACATTTTATAGGTATGAGAACTGAGCCCTAGAAAGATTTACCTACTATTGGCAACTTGGATGCCTTCATCATTAAAAAAGAAAAAATTTTCCCTGGATGGTGTGGCTTAAGTGGACTGAGTGCTGGCCTGTGAACCAAAAGATCAACAGTTTATTCCCAGTCAGGGCACAGGCCTGGGTTAAAGGCCAGATCCCCAGTTGGGGGCACAGGAGAGGCAACCATACATTGATGTTTCTCTCCCTCTCTTTCTCCATCCCTTCCCCTATGTCTAAAAATAAATAAATAATTTTTTTTAAAAATTAACTTTTCCTAAGTAATTATTTCAAGAATTAAAGTATCATCTGTTGATAGCTACATATTAAAACAATGACTAAATAAGAATCACAGATTTATCTTATTGCATTATTCACAAGTAAGTTAAGATTTATTTTTCCTTGTCTTTACCTTTTCCATCATTTTTTACTTATAGCAGTTATACTGCTTTCTAATAAAAATGTAGTAATGCAGTCATGTCTGTGAATCTGTTGAACAGTAACTCTAGAGAATCAGAATATTATAAGTTTGCCTCATACTGAGATAGCAAGATGTAATGGAGCTTTAACAATTCATTCGATAAATATTTTAAAAGCCCAAGAATGACTGACTATTCACTAAATTTATGTATTTGTCAGCTTTCCACTATACCACATCATAAAAGTTTTATTAGCAGTACTACCACTTCGGTATGAAATTACGAAATATGACATGCCTCCAGATGGTGTGTTTAAATGAAATCACACAATCTTCCTTATAAACAGCCATACAGAACCCAGCATTTCATCATGAAAGTGCGCAGACACATAGGCCAAGTGCTGAAGGAGCTGAGGCGAATGAAACTGCAAAGGAAGAAAAAAAGAATGAATCCGGCACGAAGAGCAACTACAGCTTGCCTGAGGTTGACGGTGGGAGCTCTGAGGACCAGTATGATGACTTGTATGTGTTCATTCCTGGAGACAGTCCAGAAATTAATTCACAAGAGCCACTCGGGGACAACAGACCACCTCTCCCCCCACCACGACCTGTAGTTGCTGCCCCCCAACTGGATAAACCTCACCTCACATTACAAGGTAAATTTAAGGTTAAAGTAACAATAAAAAAAATTGACAGACTTAATAGCATATAGTACAGTGGCAAATCTATACAGAGAAGATCAACTTCTAAAACTAAGAGCAACTTTACTCCATTCTTTAACTAGGACCTGGGAAATCAGGCAAAAGATACCTGCCACTAACTATCCTCCATCCCTTTCTTTTTTCCTGCATTCCTTCCTTCTTTCCTTCTGGAACAAAGAATCATTGCAAGGTTTTAAGTAAGTAAAACTAAAACCAAGAAGTAGTCTGTAAATTCTCCCCCTGAAATGAAACTGAAGTAACATGGAAAAGTAAATGACAACTTCACTTCTAAAAAATATTCTTAGTCTTCCAGCAAAAGGGAAAGGCTAATGTGGCACAGGTTTAAAAATGACCTTGGGCATTTCACCCATTTGGTAGCTTCAAGGGAAGCAAGTGGCAGAGGGTTTATCACTGCATTGAGACCAAAGTCTAAGAACACTCTATACATATATTGATTAAGTGGAAGAACAGTTACATGATTGTGACCATATTTGCCCCAAATGCAGGATTACTGTGTCTAATGGGGGAGGGAGTGAAGGAGCATCAAGAAGAGCTTCCGTGTCGGCCCTATTAGCCTGGAATGTGCAACAGACTGACAAACTTCCAGCTTCACATTCAAATTAGTGACTGTAACAAGGTCACTAATTTTCACCCACTTTATTGGTCACTATTTTATATTTACTTTCCAAGTTAAGAAAATGTTCTTACAAATAAAATTTTAGAAGGAGGGTAAAAGAAGTATCTGTTATCAAAAGCCCATTTGTCACAATACTGTACTTGTTGAGTCCTAAAAAGTTATGAAGTCTATAAAAGCTGTTTCAAAAAGTAGATTTTGAAGCCATGAGATTTAACATTTGTGTCCTTGAAGGCCCTGTCTCTATAAAAGTTCCAGTTGATCAAGGTAAACCTGTACTAAGGGTATGCACTGTATTTAGAGATGGAAAGTGCTGCATAATGGAAAGTATGGAAACCCTCATAGGCACTCCCCTGATCCATTCACTTGCTCAACAAGTACTTGTTGATTGCCTACTATGTGTCAAGCTCATATGGACCATTAAGATAAATCAATGCTGTAGGTGTATCAATCTTGGGAGCAGAGGAGGGGAAATAGATTAGTAGTACACTGACAACAAAATTCTGGTATATGTTTATCATTTTAATAAATGTGAACAATTTCATATCATTATTAAAATTAATTGTTAAGAGGCAAAGTTGTCTTTTATCAGTGTAAATCTCTGAGAGAAACTAATATTAAATTAAATCTTTTCCTAATGGAAATTTCTATATGTGGTAAATTGGTTAGGAGGTCAAACATTAGTTTACCCAGAGTTTTCACCAGATATCTAAGATCCAAAGTGCAATTTTGGTTAATATATTTTCTGAAAATTATTACACATAAAAGCAAAATAAAATAAGAAGTCAGTCCTTTTACTTAAAAACTCTGTTTTTACATTTTATATGTAGTGTTACTTTTAACCTCATCTTTTCATAAGGCTAATACTTAGCAGCAAATGGAAAATAAAATACCAATATTTGTCTTTAATATTTGATTAAGGTCTTTGAAAGTAAGACTGGAAGCTTCCACTTTTTTTTTTTGCCAGAGACTTTATGAGTTATTTGACTTTAACTAATGATACCTTCAGAAATTATCCCTTAGGAGTAGCTCCTTATGTCCTCAACTTATTGAGAAGAGAGACCTCCTCATCGATGTTCTAAGTATCAAATTCCTTATGATGGATTTATGGATGTATTCACTGTAGAAAACATTAATATAGAACACCGTAGAACACTTTCAGTTTATAAAGAACATATTGTTTCTTTTTATCTTTACAACAAACTTTCAAGGAAGCCATCACTTAGGACTCTCTTTTTTTTAATTCTTTACTTGTTGATTTTAGAGAGAGAGAGAGAAACATTGATTGTTGTTCCACTTATTCATGCATTCATTGGTTGCTTCTTGCATGTGCCCTGACCAGAGATCGAACCCACAACCTTGGCAAATCGGAATGACACTCTAACCAAATGAGCTGCCCGGCCAGGGCAAGGTCCCTTTTGAACTCAGATCCAAGACCATAGAGCCTGTAATTAGAATGTGTCAGATACCTCTCTGAACAGGTTTCTGGGATTTTAAGTATTCTTTTTGTTATACACTCTTGCCCCAATTATTTCAAAAATTAGAATTATAGAAGTGATGTATTTTAATTGTTATTTACCTATGTACAACTGCATTGAGAAAGTGCAGGTGGACTCTGACATAAAAAGTATAATAATCTGATACACTGGAAAATAAAAAGTAAAATGTATTATTTCTAGTGCAAGCCCAGCTTTAGAAAGAGTTGGGAAGTGGGTGGAGGAACAAAGATAACAGCTCAGGAAATCAGATTATAAAAGTAAGATAGTTGACACATTCTACTAAAAATAAAACACTGTAAAAGTTTTTCCCACACACTTAATCTGGTTTCACCTGTGATGCTGTCAGTGAAACAGAAGTCATGAAGTCAAAATCTCAATACCATATTATTCTTAGGAGAAAAGGCAAGTCGTGGTGATTTTAAAGTTAGTTATATGTAGGCCTGTATACATTTTGGGTTAAACTAACTGAACCAATCAAATAGAAGACTAATGGAAGGTGATCTTGGTCTCTCCTCCTAGGCTTACTCCCCATAATTGCTGAACCTTCTTTTAATAGTATTTTCCTTTATTCTTCTCCATAACTTTTCTTTCTCTTCAGCTCCTAAATTGTTCCATTAAAATATCCATAAATGAATTAAAATGTTTTTTGGTCAGAGTCTCACCTAAAAGAAAAAAAAAATCATTCTCTTTTAGTTCACATGGCTGAATCTCCCAGAATCACATAAAAAAAATTTTCTGTCAGTAACTGAAATCTTTTCCATTTTGTTGTTTTCATTAATACTTTACACAAAACATTTGTCAAAGAGAAATTTTTTAAAAATTTACATTGGCCTGGCAGAAAGCCATCAAAATTATTTTCAACTTACTCATTAGCCAGAGTATATGGTATCTTTATCTGCTAAATAATTGCTATTGAATACTTTATGCATTAAATATTTTAATGCATTTTTATAAAAATATGTAAAGATGTTACTACATATGAAAACCATCAAAGACAGTTTATTATTTTCATATGAATAATATTCAAGCTGTTGATTATTCATGCCATCTTTTAGGTCATGAATGAAATTCATGTTGGCTTATAAAAAGCAAGAGTTTGAAGGTCAGTTTGTCATTGTCAGAGTAAGACTTACCACAAGAAACAAAGAAGTAGCACTTTTAACCATTCCACCCTATCATTTTCAGAGAAATTGAATTTTAGGCAGAATACCCAGGGCAAACCCTATGAAAGGTCAAATGACTTCAAGCAGGAAAATAATCTAAAAGTATTATGTTTGAAAAATACAAAGTCAAAGTTTTTGGAATTTGAGGATTAATTTTGTAACTCAACTTCCTGATATTAAATCATTCATAAACTACATGAGAACCATTTATATGTTTATTTATATTTTGAAAAAATCCATGTCTTAAACAGTTTTTTCTTAACAAAGTTAACAAACTTTGCTAGGAAAGATACATTGAAGGATATGTTGGCAAATTCCATGGTGCACTTTTCTTTTTTTGGAATTTATGTTGTAATCTGTAAATTACTATGGGGGGAGTTTAGGCAAGTGATAGATGAACATCAAAAATATTACATACAATTGAAAAGTAACCACCATCTAAATATTTCATAAACAGGGAAAATGTTGGAAGGCCAAATGGAAAGAAGCCAAAACCGGTGCAATCCCAGTGCAAGACAGGAAATAGGAGGTGAACCTGAAGGAGAGGAGGAACAGACAGAAGATGAAAAGAAGCAGCAGGAGGAGGAGGAAGACCCGTACACTTTTGCTGAGATTGATGACAGTGAATATGACATGATACTGGCCAATATGAGTACAAAGAAAAAAACTGGAGGCCGATCTTTTATTATAAACAGACCGCCTGCACCCACACCTCGACCCACAAATATCCCTCCAAAAGAGGAAACCACACCATATATAGCTCAAGGTAATGTCTTTTGTTGTTTGTTTGTTTGTGTGTGGTTGGAGGTGGAATTGTCCTCTGTTTTAGTGGGATCTAAACCCCCAAAATAAAAAATACCTTTTCATGTCATAGGTGAGTTGTATTGGCCTATCGTAAAATTTAGAAACATAGTAAATAAAGAAAATAAGAATTAATGAGTAGGGGTCTAGTTTCTAATTCTTTATTAAGGAGGATAATTTTGACAAACCATTCAAAGAACATGAAACCATATTATGTGTTAAGAAATTCTCTTGACATTTTCATAATTCTATGAGAGGGAAGCTCAATTCTTAAGAATAATGTGCAATATAAGAAAAGAAGGTAAGTCCTTTATTTTTTTGCCCCTAACTTTATTTTTTTGCTCCTAATTTCATTTAAGATAACTTTAAAATCTAAACAGTTTGAATACTAGAATCTCATAGATGTAACCACAATTCCTCTGATAATTGCACTTCACCCTAATGATTAAATTCACTTCATCTGTCACAGAATTTCTACATCATTTCCACATTTTAGAGGGAAAAATAAGAATACACATTATGCATGAGTATAGTGATTACATACCATGGGTGTAATAATGGGTATAATAATACTGTGTAAAAATGTAAGTACGCATTATACATGGCAAACTATGGTACATAAAGTCAATGTGGCCCTTTACTGAGATTTTTGAAGAAAATGTTTGGGATCAAACAAAATATTTGATTGGTAACCAAAGCTGAGAGGCAATAGATCATACATTTAAATAATCCAAACCAGTGACTGAAACAAAACATTTAGGTATATATACAACAAACCTACCCAAAGGAACACAAGTACTTATCTGTGCTTAATAGGCTCGAAAGAAACTATTCTGTTGCTTAAGCAGTGTATATCATGTGATTTATGCAAGACAGTTGATCAAGTATATTTGAAGTTATTTACCAGTGTATAATACACTTATTTAATAGAAATCTGTTTTTGATAATGTTCAAGAAACTGTTAAAAATAGGAAATGATGATAAATTTTAAATGTTTCTGTTAAAATTAAATATGCTGGAACAATTATCTAGATTATTAAGGCAAGGGAGAAGCTGTAATTAGAAATTCTCAGACTGTCATAGTGACGTCAAGAATATTACAGGCTCTTTGACAAGGTTGGTACATTCCAATCAATATTTTTAAAAAGAAAAGACAGATGTACCTCAATACAACAATTTAGTTATATTTTAGAGATCATTAAAGAGGTACATCATCTTCTCTATCTCAGTTCTTAAGGAGTTCTGAGGACCACAAGTAGAGTCCCCTGTTGTGTGGTTCCCCTCTCTACACATCGTTGTCTATCTTCTTGTCCTTCAAGTAGATGCCATGGTCTTATTTTCCATGGGCTCTTCCTTGTTCTCTCTTTGCTCTTTTTTGTCCTGTTCTCTTTCTTTGGTTGTGGTAGGGGCAATGTAACTAAATATTTTAGCTATCATTTTCTTTTCATTTTCTTTTCATTTTTAAACTTCTGGGATTTTTATTTTTCTTTGGTTTCATGCTGTCTCTATTATCTTTGTTATTTGTGCTGTCTGGAATACTTGATACTCCCATCGACTATCTGGCTGTCTTAGCTATAATTTTATGTTTAAGAATAAAACACCAAAATCTTGAATGGAAATTCTACTTGTTAACTTGTGGACTATGTTGCTGGGTAATGGGGAGGTGACCAGGATTTTCACTGAATTACCCCAAAACTGTTGGTTTATTTAGATCTAGTCTCCTTTGCTTTTTAGTCTTTGTAGAGTAAAATCCAACTAACTTTAATCTACATTTCTATACCTGGTTGCCAGCACTCTGAGATCAGAGTGTGGGAAGAAGACTTGGAAATTCACCATTTATGTTGCACAAGTTCACTTGCTTTCCTGTGTTCCGTTCAGTGTGCAGCACCTGCCACACACTGGGCCTCGTGTCTCAGGGCCCCTGGCATTTTGCTTGTATGTATTAGTTATATAAAATTTTATTGAATAACAAATAATAAAGTCTTTCTGCATTTTATGTAAATTCCCTACATGACAATGATACAATTTGTCATACACACACACACACATAAGAACTTTAAAGCATCTTAGAAATCTTATTTCTAAGAAATTTTAAAGGCTATTTATCTCACCTACTTATAAGCCTGAAAACCATTCAAAATTTGTAAGAATTCCTTCTAATTCAAAAATACAATCTAATTTGTTCTCACATTTGTGTTATATGCAGAGAGGAACCAGTATTATAATATATGGTTATTATTATTATTATTTTGCATTTAAATATATAAAAACTGGTAGGTTATCTGCTCCACATCCCAAATCAGTAGCAAAAATTGAACTGTAAGTGAGGTCTTCAAAATCCCTTTACATTATTTCTTCCTTTTCTCTTTCACTGGAATGTATCTGCTTGCCTCTTCCTTTATGCTATTGATTGTTATTTATTCTGTCTCAACACTAGAAAAACTGCTTCATTGGCTAATTCTTTCTTGATGTTCTTTGCATTTCAGAGCGTAAAATTCATTACCTTTCCTTTTTTTTCTAGCTTACACAATATATTAAATAAAATTGCCACAATTTTCCAGAAAGCCATTCATTCAATTAGAACATTAAATTGCCCCAATTCTTGCCAGAACACAGAAGTGACAGCAGAAATATTGGCACATCCAAGGTGTGTTGATGTAGCAAAAAGAGAAGGATGTGGAGTTGGGGATGGAAAAGGAATGTGGGATGTAAAATCCCAACTTACTATTTCAGAAACTCAAGAAAGTTGTGGCAAAGAGACTAAGCAAACAAACCAGAGAGAGACAGGAAAATCATGTTGGCTTTTGTGACATCATTGAAAACATGTATATTGGTGTCTACCCCAGCACAGAGTTGTTGAAACCATTGTAATTTCCTGGGTGTTATGAGTGTCTTTTTTTCTAATGAGGCAACTCTGTATGGGCTCCTGGATGTGAGCTGGTAACTAGAAAGACCAAGTCATGACTGGAAGCTTAGAATTTTCAGGCCTACCCCCCCATTCTCTTGAGAAGGGAGAAGGGCCGAAAATGGAGTTCATGATCTATTGTGTCTATGTGAAGAAGCCTCTATAAAATCCCAATGTAGGGGATTCTGAGAGCTTCTGGGTTGGTAAACATATCCACACTTGGATGGTGACACACCGCAACTCCATGGGGACAGAAACTCATCCACTTGGAACCCTCCCAGACCTCACTCTATGAATCTCTTCATCTAGCTGTTCATCTGTATCCTTTATCATATTCTGTAATAAACATTTAAATGCAAATAAGTGTTTCCCTGAATTGTGTGAAGAGGAGAACCTATAGAGAATAGGACAAAGTTCTAGGATATTCTCATATAGCTGAGAATTCCAACTGCTTTCACAGAGTATAAAATCAGAGAGAAACTCTGTTTCCACCATCACCACCATACCCTGCCTATAAAAATGTAACATTAATGCAAAATTAAACTCATGGATTATTTTTTTAAGATTTTACTTATTTATTTTTGGAGAGGGGAAAGGAGGAAGAAAGGGAGAGAAACATCAATGTGTGGTTGCCTCTCATTCACCCCCTACTGGGTACTCAACCCAACCCAGGCATGTGCCCTGACTAGAAATCCAACTAGCAGCCCTTTGGTTCATACCATCCACTGATCCACACCAGCCAGGGCTAAACTCATGGATTATTTTATTCAAGAGATATGCATCTGATTTTTTAATTCCCTTCCTATTACACTATATCTAATTTTGTGTTAACAACCACAGAAACATTAACTCATTTTACTTTAATGAAAAGTTTTTAAAGTTTGCCTGTCTTCAGATATTGTATTCTTCCCACTTTTTCTCCCTATAATTTTGAAAAGGATCGAGTTCATTAAGCTTCAAGCATATAGGGAAATTAACATGGATTTACAGTGTTTCTTAGTGTCAGCATTCTTGATTTAAGACAAATCAAGGAAACAAAATGAGCACTTTACATAGTATAGATAGATAGATTGGTGGTAAAACTATATTCATAATTCATAAGAAGAGATGACTGCCTATTGGGGAAAAATTTTAACATCAAATGACAATTTCCCATTTTTCCTTCACATAATTCATAGAACCTAGATTCTTCCACAGAGTCCATGCTTCTGATTTGGAGTAGAATATAATTTCCTTTTCAATGTTCAATTGCTACTGAGTTGCCCTTGGCATTTTACAGTGCAACAAAGCTATATATGACCTTTTGGAGAGCTACTCAGCCACCAGGACCCCAAAATGTCAAGTACAACTCAGTTGCTCTCAGAAATTTTCCACTTGCGATTTGCTTGTCCTTGAAATGGATCACATACAATACAGTTGAAATGCAAGCAGAAAAAAAAAAGACCTTGTAGAATCTCTTAGGAAAATTAATCCATATCAGATTGGAATGTCCTCATTAGTGAAGAAATACAGTCAAGTGGATTAAAGTAGGCTTTAGACCAAGTGCCTTGGGTCCTATTCTTTGGCTAGGTGACCTTGTTCAAACCACTTAACTTCAGGACTTAGTGCGTATATTACAGGTGCACTCAGGGCAGAGAAACATATTTATCATTCTATTTGGAAGCCCAGTGTCCCTGTCTTCCCCTCTAATTCTCTCTCTGCCTCTCTCTTTTCCCTGGTAGAGTGCTGGTGCGACTCTGCAAAAGAGCAGTTGTTCAGATATTCGCTCACACTGTTCGTTAGAGGCTATCCAGCCTGCTTGTATAACCTGAGTGTTTCGATGTGCTTTTCCTGTCATTGAAACATCATGGAGACATTGAATACAACCTAAGAAGAACTTTGCAGACCATCTGTAAGAGAGTTGGCATAATAATGATGAACTTTTCTAGCTTGATCTTCCAGAAATTAAATTTCTTTATATTAGTAAATGGGGAAGAAGGCAGTAATGAACTGTGGTATCAATTGACATGAAAGGATTTGTATTTCGTGAGACAATATAAGCAAATATTATCAAGTGCTTA